AAAGGGAGTGGAGATCTTTCTCGTCCTCTGCTTGCACCGGCGGGTGCTGCATCGACAAATTTCAGCGCTGTAGGATTCTTATCCATCCGAACCTCGTGACCTAGCCAGCGTAGTCAGTGTTTCTGTATTCGCTGAACTAAGTCAATATAGTCGTATAGCTCGTACAGCTCATCATTCCATCGGCTTCGGTATTTGCCGTTACCAACGAAGTTATCTACGGCTTCAAAGTTATGTCTGTCAATAGTGACTTAGGAGCCGAGTCGCGAATGTGGTGACTGTTTTTGTGATGACAGGAGATATTTCGTCTTGCTCTTGTTCAGGATATGGATCTGATCCTTCGTTTCCTTAACCAGTCTGAAGAAAGCAGAACTCGTGGCGCAGTTTTTGAGGCCAATAATGTTAATATCATCGGCATATGCCAGCTTCTGTATTCAGATCTGCAGCTCGCATTATTTTCTCCAGCAATAAATTAAAGACCGGCTCGGAGAGGTGCTTCCCGATCCTGACGGAGCGTATGGTCAGCTCTTTTACGTGCTGTCGAAGGCGTGGATTTTGGCAGAGCACATTTAGGATTCAATCGTCGGGCATGCTTCATCCGCTCATATTTTTCAAAGAAGCTGACGCATGCTTTTGTTTTTTAAGCGGGAGATTGCTATTTGGACTTCCTCATAGGTAGGTAACAGACAACTGCTACGCCATACATAGACTTTTTTTGGCCCTTGTAAGCCCGAAAGGAGACTCCGTTTAGTACGAGCTGAAGTAGGCGTCAATGCTTTTTTGCGAAATCCAAAAGAAGCTTGAGATCTGAGATCTAATCTGTTCCTTTGAGATGGGAGGTTTCTAGATATCTCAGGGGAGTTCTAGATAAGACCGGACAGAAGCAGAGGTGGTAAATGCTCATTTTATTTCGATGCTTTTGAACATGATCTGGCGATCCTGCTAAATGTCATACACCGATCCGTCAGTCAGCCCTTTCGAAAGTTTAATTGTGTTTCGATTTTACCGACTTGCATATTTTCTCTCCCGGTTCGGTAGCCAGATGAATGGTACTTTTGCCAATCCCATCAAGTATTTCGTTACTTAGAATACGCTTACGGCCTGGAACCCAGCTTATTTGCAGTGACGATGTGATGTTATTGCCTTAGTTTTTGCTTGAGAGGCTGTCTGAGCTCTAATTCTGCGAAATCGATTCCAGCGGGAACTCCAGCCATTTTTAATATTGAAATAATTTTTCCCGGATGAAGCGTTAAGGTTTGTGGTCTATTTTGTTCAACAATTACCAGCTTTAAGTTAGAATTGTTGGTTTGTGTTCTTTCGACTAAAGGGGAGCTCTCTCACCCGCCTTCGGTATGTCGTATACTCTTGCCTCTCTCCAAAGGATAGCTACATAGTTCAACCTTAAACATCCTTCAAATATTATCGGGATTTAAACGGTTCAAAACCGTGGGTTGCCTTTCCCCATGAGACTTACTTACTTACTACTACTATCCCCTACAGATCCCCGTCAGAATACCACTCAAATATGTTAGTATCAAGTTACTACTTTACACCAATGTTTTTTTATTCATATTAAAGCTTTGCCCATCCAAAGCTAATAAAAAGCTTTGAGTGGCACTGGAAAGCTGCGAGAGTGTGAGAGAGAAAGCTTAGGGAGAACTTCTGCAGCTTTCGGCGTAAAACAGAAACAAGATGTAATGAGTAAGGCGAGCTTTATTTTGGATTATTATGAGCACAGTTGAAGTAAAAAGCGTCGGGGTGAGAGCGAGCACTCCTTAGAAAAAACTCGTCTCTTTGCGAGAATTTTCGCGGAAATAACTTAACGAACTCTGTAGCTGCTTTGAAATGTGCTCCACTATTCGTCTAATAAATTGTGTTTACTTCCTGCAGCTGCGTGAGACTGTTGCTTTTCTACGCTGCCGTTGCCGCTGCTCCTGCCGTTGCCGTTGCCGTTGCCGCAGCCCCATCCAAAGGAACTCAATGAGCAACTCGTAAATTTGTTGTAGGCAATATAGGGCAGTAATGGCAACCGAATGCAAAATGTATATATGTATGTATGTGTAGCCAATAATTTTCGTTATTTGCTTTACGCTCATTCTCCCTGCTGCATTTTTACTGCTTTTGCATTCGCTTTGCAACCGGATTTCGCAATGAAAATGTTGGTCAAAGTGAATTTTTAAAATATCCACACATCAGTCTCACATACACATACACACATACGTACGCAAGAGTAGGTGTTTTATGCTGTGTTGAGAAACAAAAAGGTCAGAAAATGTAGTCGTGTAGGCTGGTTGGTCTCTCTGTATGTGTCAGCGTATGCTAAATAAGCTTTGCGTGCTGCTGGTCTGGGTTTTGACTGTGATGCTCCACTGCAAAGGCATCCGTAAAGGCAGATGGACGTATATATGTACGTGTATGTACATGAGCGCGTGCACAGCAACCGACTCGGGAAAAAGGAAGTAAAAGTGAAAGCTGCTACCAGCGGCAACCACAACCGACCACCGACGAAAATATAGAGAAAGTGAAATAACCGAGAATATCTGCAATCAATGCATGTGAGGGAGGACATGTACATACAATACATATTTACATACATATGTTCTGGGTAAATGTGTGCAGATGAATTTTATTTAGGAGGAAATGTATTTCAGTTTCAAACTCGTTTGAGAGGCCGACGAGGCCAAAATGTAAATTTAGATATTTTTCTATTAATTTATGTATGTATGTATGTGTGAGTCGACGACATACTAAGTTGAGCTAAATGGAAACTAGATTTTCTAATATTTTTAAAATCCGAAATTCAAGTCAGATTTGTAATCAAGTACTTATGTGATGTATATCTATTACATTGAGCTTTATACAGAGCTTTGAGCCTACAACGCTTTAAGCCAATCTTCTTTAGCTCTTATCCATACCGTACTCCAGCCCTCATCTTAAGCTGATATAAAATGGAAAGATGCGCAAGCAATCAGATAAATTTTAACAGGAACATGAATTGCAACCAGCAGAGAAGCAAAGCTCTGCGTATGAGTGTTTTAGTCTCAGCAGGTCTGAGATTACTTACTACATACTTCTTATCTCTTCTCCAGCACAAGTTAACCTAAGTCACTTTCTACAGACTTTCGAATAACTTAAAATACCAAGGGCCAAGATATTATACGACGAATACCGAGTTTCAATATTGGCATTTTTGAGTGTACTTTGTATTTACAGACCTTTTGACTGAAGATCTTTTGCCAAAAGCATGGTTTCATTTGTCAGAATAGTTAATTGTAAAGTAAAGTTCGTTCTCCCCAAAAAGTAATCAAACTCTACTAGTCACTCATCATACACCTTCGTGCTTTGTGGTGCCGAGACTTGAACGTTGGGTTGCTCTATGGGTTGACGAAAGATAAATTTTGCAAACGATAGATTGTTCGTTTCGTATATGGAAGGCCCAATACTAAAGACCATGAAGAAATGAAATATCTGCTTACATTTATCGGCTTCACAGACTATGACACGTCGTAGAGAAGAACCTTTATTGCGATGGAAAGATCAAGTGGAAAAAACCCCGGTTATGTTTATGTCACCTATTAGTATTGGCTATTGACGACCGTAGTTTAAGTACTGGTCCGACCAACATTCGAAAATTATAAAAAATTAATTTAAATAAAAAATTAAGTATCTTCGGCAGGAGATGTCAACCCCTCCGAGTGTATTTTTGGCATGAAATAAAAGCTCCTGTAGGTCTCTCCATTTTTTTGAAAAAAAAAAAAAACCAGAAAATCGCTTCAGCTATTAAAAAGCACCTCGGCTATAATCGTGTTAACGGTGAATAATTAAGAATTGTAATTAGCTCTTCAGTTCTACTTTTAGAGGATTCAAATCACTACCCTTTATCAGTTAGATGTGCCATGTGCTGTGCCATTGGATTTGTTAATCTGAACAGCGATAATTCTCGAGCTTATGTCTTATCAACAGGGTCAGTAGCTAGTAAATAGTATGTCTTAACATCATACATAGATGTACATATATCCATAAATAAATAAGTAATAAAAAAGAATTCGTTATAATATGTGGAAAAAAAGTTGCCTAAAAAATTTCAAAAAAATATTTAAAAAAATTCTGCAAGATTAAATTTACTAAAAACTTTGCAAAGAAAAACTTCACTAAAAATCTTCCTAATAAAATTTTGCTAAAAATGTGAAAAAATAGTTAAAAAAAATCTTAAAAATTTTACTAAAAAATGTGGAAAATAAAATTGTTAAAAAATTACCTAGCAAATTCTGCTAAAAACGTGGAAAAAATTGCTAAAAAATTTCCTATCAAATTTTGCTTAAAAATTGGTTAACAAACTTTTCTAAAAAATGTGGAAAAAAATTGCAAAAGATTTCCTAAAAAATTTGTTAACAAATTTTGCTAAAAAATGTGAAAAATTAAATTGTGAAAAAATTTCCTAACAAATTTTGCTAAAAAATGTGGAAAAAAATGCCAAAAAATTTCCTACAAAAATTTCCTAATAAAATTTTGCTAAAAAATGTTTAAAATTTTCCTAACAAATTTTGCTTAAAGTTTTCCTAACAAATTTTGCTTAAAAATTTGTTAACGAATTTAGCTAAAAAATGTGGAAAAAAATTGCTAAAAAATTTCCTACAAAAAATGCTGAAAAGGTTTGACAGAAAATATAAAAAAAATGATACAAAAATTAAATTTATTAAAAAAAATTCCTAACAAAATTTGGTAAAAGACGTGGAAAAACGGACATCATAGAACTGTGAATGACATGAGGGCATACCAAATTTTTATAACAGGACTCAAGATAAATGGAATTGAAACATTCTTCCTGGTGAAAGGCTCCCACTCCTTCACGAACGAGGAAGCATGCACGGAAACTAGAGGAGCTCACCGTAATGGTGAAGATATTTATAAGCCCACACAGGAGGAGTAAGTCGTCTCTGTGAATGTCCCATGCCCGAGACGGCGATGCCACATAGCTAAGCCCACATGCAATTGATTCGTTTAGATGTGATTTGGGTGCAAAATCCTTCAGAGAAGCTTTTGGAAACGTGAAATACGAAACCGAGTTTTGAATTTTGCGATAAATTTCGTAAGCTTATGAAAGTCAACACTTTTTTTCTAGTTTGAATTGAATATTTAATATTTTCTCATATAGAAATTTTGTCGAGTTTGTTCCGGTAACTTTGATGTAAAACATGTTCCGCGGTGTACAAGCCCAATTGTCGAAAATGTCGGTAAAATTATGCAAGTCGTTGAGTCTGACCGATTCCCTGGAAGCCAAAGATTTCGTTATAACATTTGAAACCATTTGAAAAAGGCTGATTACACAAAAAAAGCTCGATGTATGGAAGTCAGATGAGTTAATGAGAGAAAACCTCTAGGACCGAATTCCGAACTGTAAATCGCATGGATGGTGCCTGGTGATGACAAGTGGATCATTTACCTCAAACAAAGGCGGCCGTGGTTCAAGGGCAGTGAGGAGGCACAAACGAATTTTAAGCCAGAATTGACGGTCTTTCTGACCGTGTTTGGTGGAATTGGTAAGGAATAATTCACTATGAGCTGCTCGATCGCGGCCAAACTCTTAATTCGCGCCTTCACCGTCAGCAATAGGACTATTTGAAGTAACCAATCGCCCGAAAGCGCCAGCTTTGTCCAGTACCAGTAGGTGAATTGTGTTTCATCAGAACAACGCCAGTTCACTCACCATAAGCTCGAAGAGCTTAGTTGGCAGATTCGTATGCGTACACCTTTCAGTTCGGACCTCGCACCAAATGATAACCATCTGTTTCTATCTATGTCGAATGATTGGGCTGGAGAAAAATTCCCTTCAAGGGAGGCTTGGCAAAATCGACTGCCTCAATTTTTCGCCAATAAGAAAGAGAGCTTCTATGAAAGAGGCATAATGAAATTACTTTTAAAATGGCAACAAGTTATCCAGCAAAAATGTAATATTTGACATGAATTGAGTTGAGTTGCTGTGACTGCTGACCATTGTCGGCGCACTTAGCCCATTGTGATACCGCTGTAAAGCTCCTCTCTTCACTTTCTCAAATGATCGAACCATTTGGTGTGCTTTATAAAGGCAAAAAAATTTACAATTTTGGCAGCTCAGCGAGACAAGCGACGAAGTATTTCCCGGGAAACTTATGGCGAGCAGGTATCAAAGCTGTGTGCTAAAGGTCGTGTTCAATAGACTATTCCCCCTCTTCGTACCTACTCACTTATTTACTTTACTCACGTAGACACCGCTTACGTGATTAAAGCCGATTTAACAACATTGCGCCATTCTTTTCTACTTTTTGCTGTTTGGCGCCAATTGAAGATACCAAGTACAGCCACATCTTTCTCTACCTGGTCTTTTCAAGGGAGCGTCTAGTCCTCCATCATGTCTTCGTCCCTACAGCTGCGGCAAAAATGAAGCCTCACTAACAGTGGCCTGTTATATTGCCTGACGTTATGGCAATCCAGAATTCGCATGCGATTTTGCAATAGCTGTCTGGACCTCATTCAGCCATCTAGAGTCTGCTTCGTCAAAAGGCAGTATAAGCATATATTTTGCCGTAGGTAAACCTGCGTCGTATGCATATGTTATTGTGGTTAAAAGGGTTCCTTCTCTAGCTAGCTCGTCTGGCATACAATTTCATGAGATGTCACTGTGTTCCGGTATCCAGACCAAGGCAGTGTTGAAGAGTTTAGTTAGATTGCTTCTACATTTTTTAGCAACTTTTATTGAGGTACTGTTACATTTCAAAGATCTGATGACAACTTGACTGTCAGAATATATGCCGCTCGGCGGTTTTCATAAAAGAAGAGTTTCGGTAGAAAGATACTGCCGTTGTCTATTTCATTTCTGTTTGGGATTCTCGTGAAGAAAAGATTGTAGTTGTTGTGTTGCTGTTGTAACCGCCTTGGTCGGATAAAAATCCGGGTCGTTCCGGTATAAAGACCTGACTGTCGCGGGAACAATGGGATTTGAGTCGCCTCTTATGACAGCCATGCCTTACCGCGGGTAAATTCTTGAACCCCTAACACGCAGGGGTGAGAAAAGATTGCCGAAGCACATACTCGTACTGAAAGTGGTGACGTCCAGTTCCCTCGGCACTACTGAGTGTTCATGAGAATATCCAGCATTTCTTCACAAGATGCAATACATTCATTATGTGGCTTCTGATATAGTTTGGGATGGCGGGACTATCTAATAATTTTAGCCCTAAATTGTTGTGATTTACTTTTTATTTTGCAAATAAATTTTCGTAAAAAAAAATTTTTTTTGTTCTTTAAACTAAAAGTTCATAAATTAAACACGCATCCGCTTGTGGCAAAATTAAACTGGTTTTATAACCGTAAATTTCAATTAAAACTTAACCACAAAACTTCCAACGACAACAACAGTAGCAAAAACTTAATAGTTTCCCAAAATGCAGCGGCCAAAAAAATGTGCAAAAAAATGCAAAAAAAAAATGAAAAAAAAAAAAAAACTGAAACAAAAGCGAACCCTCGCCACTCATGCGAATAATTCAAATAACAATAACAATATCATTAAATAATAACACAGCTGCCAACAAAACAATAACAATAGCAACCATAAGCTAACGGCACCACAAAAACAGTCATAACTGCAAGGCAATTCTTTTTTTCTTCACAACATTGATTATTTTGAGAATTTGCCAACAAATAATTTTTATTTAAGTAAACAACAAAAAAAGCAAGTTGGCAACAATTCACGTGCAGGCAACAAGTATAAAACTATAAAAGTAGTGTTGTTGTGGTGGAAAAACTTCCGTTTTGCTAACAAGATGATTGGAACTCATTGAGGCATCGCCTGTTTCCAACACATTTTGATTTTGTTGAATTTCAAGTCGCTTGAAGAAGGTACGTGCCGAACTTTGAATTATCGATGGGTCGAGTGTGTGAAAATGAGCGCTAAGATCACAAAGTAAGTACTCGAGTTAGGAAAATAAACACTTTGATTGATTAATGGGCCCAACTCCGCGCAAAGTAATCCAAAGTTCGCCACGTTTGTCGTGTAACAGAGATACGGAATGTTGATGAGGGAAGAGTATTGTATTTGCATTTCACAGAGAAAGAGATAGGCCGAAAGGTTTGCGTATGAAGAGTATGAATTGATCTGACGACCAAAATCTCGAGTACTGAATAGCAGTGAAAATCAAGCTCCCGCAGATAGTGAACCAGAAAACTCGCCGCCAAATCAGAGTATGTTGAAAATTCCTTTCGTTCCGGTTTAAGGATCAGACTCTCGCGAGATCTTAGTCGACTCTTGAGACACACATGCCTTATGGCGAATAATATCCTAAACCCCCAACACGCACGGTTATTCGTCATTCTCGTCCTTCATTATTGTGTGGAGCTTAGACGATGGCGATATCTATGAGACTATGAGTTTTCTAGAACAAGGTTTTCCGAACGCTTTATATTGTACCTGCTAGCGCCGGCGAATACCGTAGGCAGCACTATGAGATAAGCGACGCCTTGACATAGCGAATCAAAATGAAGCGACAGGGTTATGTCTTTTAGATGGATGAAAGCAGTTCAACTCTGAGGAGCACTACAGCCTGATATTAGGTTAAGTAAAAAGTTTGTTCGGTTTTTTTATTGAGTTTTGAAAATATGATAACTTTGTGTACATTTGTCCGATTTAAGACAAATATTCGGCTTTTTGTTCGTAAATTTGTTGCCAACGAGATGACAACTTCATAATACCTCTCTCGTACCCCATTGGCAGAAAACTCGGACAGCCAATTTTCACAGGCCTCTCTTGAGGCCAAGTTCTCACCATTAAGTGCGTTCGCCATGGAAAGGAAAAGATGGTAATCACTTGGGGCCAGGTCTGGACTATAAGGTGGGTGTATTAGGACTTCCCATCCGAGCTGCTGGAGCTTCTGAAGCGTCACCAAAGACGTGAATGACCTGGCGTTGTCTGATGGAACACAATTCGGCCTCTGTTGATCAAAGATGGCCTTTTCTGGATGAGTGCTGCCTTCAAGCGGCCCGTTTGTTAGCAGTAGAGGGCCGAATTGAGCGTTTGACCATAGGGGAGCAGCTCGTAGTAGATGATTCCTTGCCAATACCACCAACATAACCAGCGTTCTCGTACATACAATGCGACCAACAACAAATCTTCGCACTGGTACATTCAATCACATAACAGGTGCACTCTAACATATTTTAAACATTTTCAATACTCTATTTCCTTTTAATTACTGCGCTTTCTGAAAATCCGATTAAAACCTATTTCCGTTTCTACTGACAGCTTTTTATTTTTAAAAACAGGGATGTTTTACACTGACAGTTAAAGTGAAAATGGAGGAATCCTTGTGCAGATGGTAATTCTAAGAACTGCCTTTTACATTCTAAAATATTTGGAAAGCATTTATTTCGTCTTATCAAATTGAATGCTGCCTAAAAGTATGCAATAGAAAGAATTTACGTAGGTGTACGAAGCAGAGAATCTGTAACAATAATCATTATTATAAGTTCTCTCACGAAGTAAACAAATTATAGTGCATATTATAAATAAATATATGTAATGAAATTGCAATATTAAAAAAAAATTTATTTTTCAATAATGCCACAAAGGAACCAGTCTTGCAAGTACCTTCAAGTTTCTTATAGAAAATTAGAGTAACGCCAACAGCATATTTTTTGAGGTACTTGAAAATGTTAAAAATAAATAAATCTTATCATTGTTTGTTGTTTGTTAATCTTAGTGCACGAAAGAGTGAATAGCTAGAAACATGTCGTGCCATTATCTGCCCCACTCTGTACCCAATTGTCCAATTATTATAAACTTGGACTCTGATACCCGGCATCACGTTCAACAAACATATTCCGCTTCTATTACGAAGCAGATATGTACATAATTGATTGATTTGTATATTAATGTACTTATTTACATTATACAGTATATTATATACGCGTGTTTGTTGTATTTACATCAAAGCTAAATCTTATATTAAACACAAAGAAAATCTTTCTGGATCAAATGTTAATGTTTGTTGTTGAATGTTAATAAACTGAAGTCAACAAGTCAACTGATAAGAAATTTAATTAAAACAGTTTAAATGTTTATAAAGAGAGTATAGAAAAAATATTTATTTCACTTTTCTTTTAACATTAAATATAATGATTATTACACATATGTATGTATATACTAATAATTTTTCAGTGATAAGCATTTTAATACCTAGAGTTAGACAAAAATCTATTAAATGCAACAAAGTATTCAGGCGCAGTCGCCGCAGATATTGACGCCGTAAAATAATTTAAGGTTGCATACGAAGAGCACCGTCAATGCGTATGGTTTCACCATTCATCAAAGGATTTTCGTAGATTGCCTGTACTAAATGAGCATATTCTGATGGTTCACCCAAACGTTGAGGGAAAGGTATAGATTTGGCCAAGAAAGTGCGTACTTTCTCTGGCAGAGCCTGCAACATTGGCGTATTGAAGAGACCAGGCGCAATGGTGCACACACGTATACCTTGTGTACTAAGATCACGTGCAATTGGTAGAGTCATGCCGACCACGGCCGCCTTTGAAGCTGAATAAGCAGCTTGACCAATTTGCCCATCAAATGCAGCTACAGAGGCTGTGTTAACGATAACACCACGTTGACCATCTTTATTTGGCTCATTGATACCCATTACACCGGCCGACAAACGAATCACATTGAATGTACCAATAGTGTTGACTGTAATGACGCGTGTAAAGTCTTCCAAACGGTGTGCAACATCCTTATTAAAGTTATATGTTTTAACAGCTGTGGCGGTGCCTGCACAGTTTACAGCCAAATCGAGACGTCCAAATTTCTCCTTAGCAGTCTGTACAGCTGTCTGTACATCCTTTTCTGATGTCACATCAACAGGGACAAAGATAACATTATCGCCAATTTCTCGTGCAACTTCGCTGCCTTTAGAGCTGCTTAAATCGGCTAAAACTACACGCGCTCCTTGGCGTGCAAGCCTTTCCACGGTTGCACGACCCAAACCGGAAGCACCACCGGTCACTAGAGATACAGCGTTCTGAAAGATTGATCATTTTTTTAATATTAACAAACTGAAAGATAATATTACATTTTAAACAGTGATTGTATAATGATGTGTAAGTGTGTGTGTCAAATGCTGAAGAACAAAGCGCACACACACCCCCTATTTTGAAGATGTGAACTTTGGACTTTATTTACAGCAGGCGCATAGTGCAATGACTTTTATTTATTTTGTTTAGTGATTTTATTGTCCTCACCTTAATCATCTTGCTTGGTCTGTATAATTAATGAAACTGATTAATTAATTTGAATATGAACTGTTTTTAAGCGAAAAGAACAATATTTTTGGAAAAACACCGGTTGCTCCACTCTGCTCCACATAAGCAATTGAATGCCATTGGCAGTGTTCAAAGGGAATGTATATACGGCGCGAACTGCACAAATCAGTTGAGTAAGGCATGCTGTCAAAACTTTACAACAAACACTCTATTTTGACATTACACAAATGCGAGGAGAGTAGTCAGCTGACGTACTACCTTCATCTGTTCTGCACTCATGTTAGCAATGGTTATCAGTTTAGGGTTGCATTGTCGCAGTACATTTTCCAGTGAATAGATGCATTTAAAAAGCTTGAAAACTTCCAAATAAACTCGATTAATAACATTTTTAAAAACATTTATGACCAACGAACCTGGAATATTTTTTTAGCAATTAAGGATTGATTTCAATTTCAGCCTTATAATCCGTAATAGGTCTCGTGCTCTTTTAGTTTTTTTTTAAAATGAAACCATGTTTTTGAAACAACCAAGAAAATGAAAATCAGTAAAATTAACTAAGGATCATATATTATATTATTATTCTCCTTTTTCTTTTGATGAAGTTGTGTTTCTAAGATATGTATTTCCAACTCCATTTTGGCAATTTTTAAATGGTGTTCCTTCTCCAATATTGAGATTTCCAGCTCTTGCCTCTTCATTTTTGCGTTGTGCTCTTTCGCAAGGTCGCTTATTTGTTGTTCATGTATTTGTGCTTTTCGTATGTCAACACTTGGCAGGGATTCGATGGAGTCTTCACCTTTATCTGGGAATTATAAAATTATAATTATTTATTACCATAATTAAACAAATGTCTTACCTTGTGTGTCTATGGTGTCATCTTCATAAAATGAATCAATGTCAACCAGATTTTCAAATTGACCTGCGAACTTTGTAGTGGGTGTAAATTTTTTTGCACTGCACGTTTTCTTAGATTTCTTTAAATTTTTATATTTTGTTCTTAGAGCTTCGGCATTTCTAAAATTATGGCCCAATTTTTTATTGAATTCTAACTCTATTTCAATCCACGCTTTGACTTTTTCCTCGGAGCTCTTACGATCTATCTTCCTGCACTCCAGCACATGTTTCCTTGCTTCTATGAGTTTCAGCAAATAGTCTACTTCGCCTTTTGAAAAATTGGAGGATCGTCTTGACATTATTTATGTTTTTATCAAACAAGTTTTTGTTTAAACGTATAACACACACACTTTTTTTTAATTTTTTGACTGAACGTAAACAAAAACCAGCTGCCGTGCGTAAGAATAAGAAAAAACAGTGTTGCCGTTGCTTAAGACAAAATTTAAAATTCTTTAAGCCTTGCAATTGTTGGTTAACTCCCGGGATTAGCCAGTTTATACTTAGCCTAACATTGTTGACTTAAAATTAATTTAACGCTCTGGTAACATGGGTTGCGAAAGAAGTTGCATTGACCAAAAAGAATTTAATGTCCAAATAATATGAATATTTTTGTTGTGTATAAGACCAAAGAGTTGGCAAAAACTTTGACTTTGATGTTTTCCACCGAGGCGAATAATTGGTGGAGAAAGGTAAATAATGTGTTGTGAGAAAGAAAGGGCCATGCATCGTATATTCGTTATGGAGAACATTCAAATGAAAATCTTATAGACTGTGTACAGAACTCGGTAATGACATATTTGGTGTGAAGTAAGGCGTAGTAAATCCTGTGTTTAAAGGAGATATCTTAAACTATATGTTTACAAAAAAAAAAAGCTGAACAACAAGTTTTAGGTCAATCCAGTGATGCACCTTTCAGAATTAGAAAAATTTTCAAAGCTTATATGGCGAAAACCGTTAAAATAGTTAAGTCGTAAGTTTAATGTTAAGTTTAACTTGAAATGTGTTTTTAAGGAACAATTGTTTAAGCGTCTAAGGGTTAAGAATGTCATGTGTCAGTAGTGAAAAAATTGTTGTGTCAAATTGTAAACAATTTCCTTAATTCAAAGAAATCTTGTTAAACACGATCAATTTATATTTTGAATAAACGTTTTATGTATATTCTGTTGTCAATAATTGAAAAAGCAGTATGGAGAAAAAACAGTTACGACAAAGTATCACATCCATGTCCGATAAATGGATTAAATGCCAATCGAAGCAACGGCCTGGCAAATATTATATGTTCAATAAAGAAACTGGTGAAACTCGATGGTGCTCTGAACTTGAGGATGGTTTGCTGCGAACGACGGGATCAAAAGATACGAAAAATTCAACAAAAACACCAACGAGCATTGGTATTTTGAAATGCATTTATGTTGAATTTAAATTTAATTTTTTAAAAAATATAAACAATTATATTTTACAGCAAAACCAAAACTTAAAACTCCTGCGAATGATCGTCTTAAACGGTTGCAAAATACTCTAAAGAAGGACCAAAAAGAAAAACAGGATCAAAAACAGGTAACTACACGCAGGCGAAAAAGTCTAGATCAATTGCCAGCAACTAGAAATGGAGAAGGTGAAAAAGACAAACAAAAAGATAATGTTCAAAAGAAAACTTCAAGCATATCCAAATCACCTAATACGTCTCCAGAGGTCAAGAAAGATTGCCAGCCATCAACGAGTAAATGTGGTCTAAGGATTGGCAACGAAATGGACAAACGGTCAGAAAACCGTTCTCCACAAACAAATAAAACAGCAAAGAAGTCAAACCAAAAAGCACCAAGTAAAGAAGCCAAAAAGCGGTCGAATTGTGATTTATCAACTGCAGATTCCCCTAAAAAACGCCAAAAGTGCACCAAACAAAATCCGACTTTCAAAGAAAAGGAACCACCAAGCACTGATGTAAATACAAAAGATAAGCCAAGCACAGAACAGCCTAAACCCGAGGTAGGCGGTATTGGCAGCAGCTTCGTAAGTAAAATTAAAGCATTTTGCAAGGACAAATTTAGTAGTTATTATAATGCAAAAAAAGTCGCAACTCAAAAACCTTTGCAACCATGCTTAAAGAAGACAAACTTCAAAATACCTAAAAAAGTTCCTGATGTACTTCCTGCCACTACAAATTTGAAGTTTCAAAAAAGGGAACCTGAAAAAAGCGTAAATGAATTGTACAACAACAACAACTGTATAACAACTGCTCCTATGACTATTCTAATGAAACGCACGGCGACGCCAAATAGTGGCGAGGGAACCGTAGATTTTAAAGCCTTTTCGGTAACTGCCTCGCCATCACATACGCCCAATAACATTATTCCAGTATATCAGCGTGGTAGTGGTAAGTAAATTTTGTTCATGCTCACGCATAGATGATTTATTTAATTATTGAATTATTCATTTAAGCTAACTCACGCTTACAGCGTTTACGAAATTCTTTAAATCAACAAAAATTAACCGCTGATCCGGAAATCTCAACGTCAACACGATTGTGTGCGTCGGCATGTTCCTCCGCTTTAGCATGTGTTATACGTGAGGCAGCAATTCCAAATAGTAGTCCAAATATTAGTCAACCCGATGTTGATTACGGTAAGCTAATATATTTATAATCTCAATACATATTTAAGTAAATATGGCAAAACTTCAAATATTATATTTTAAGCAGAACCCATGGATTGGTTGCCAATTGAGGAATTGAAAACAGAGGCTATTGAAATATCTAGCAGTGAGTCGAATAATGGTACGCAGAGCATTCGCGCTGCAGAAGTTGAAAATATGGGCGAATATTATGGCACCGTTAATAAAAATTTATTACGTTATGCAATGGAGCAGAAGCAGGGTGGCTTAGTAATGACTGAAAAATGGCTCAATGATTACTTTTATTTTATATTAGATACAAATGTACTAATTGATTACTTAGTATTCCTTGAAGAATTAAGCCATATGAAATTATGCGGTATGTAGTTCCAGCTTAAATAATTTCGTAATTAACTAAATTGAAATTTACTTGATTCTATTAGATACCAGCGGCACAATACTCTACGTACCCTATATTGTATTGCAAGAGCTAGATAAATTAAAACAATTCGCCGTAAGCGAAGGTGCCAAAGTAAGAGCAGTGCGCGCTATAAAATACCTGAATGCCAAGTTTGAGACAAAAAATAAGCATCTACAAGGTAAATATTGGCTTTAACTAATTGCAAATATTTTGTATGAGCGTGTTATTTTCTCTTCCTCTTTTCCATTGTAGCCCAAAGCGCTATGAGCGAACTGGAACATCTTGTAGAAATCACTTCGCCAGATGATCGTATAATCAACTGTTGTTTACAAGTTAAACAACATGTGGATAATGTTATCTTATTGACTGAGGATATAAATTTGCGTAATAAGGCAATTTGTAATAATATATTAGTTTCGACAAAATCGGATCTAATTGCTAAACATACATAACACAGCTTCTAATTTAAAGAGACAAGTCGCATTTATTGTGTACGAAAAAAAAACGCGCTCTGAAGTTACCTCTATGCGCTAAACAAGTGATTTACTGCCATATCTGTTGTTTAAGTTTTTTGGGAGCTTGTTGTTATGTGCTTGTGTGATAAATTCGATTAATACATGTGACCACCTGACAAATTTCTGATTCCCGTAGATTCTAGCTCAAAGCGAGCGCATTCATATAATCATTCATCTCGTCGTCATTGAAACCATCACTTTCGAAACAAATTGTGATATGTAAAGAAAAAAAAAACACACACACACACAAATACTAGGTTAACTGGAAACTAATTTCTTAGTATTAAAATTTACTTTGTATTTTCGTTACAAATGTAAATAATCATTCATGTACATTTTTTACACGAATTCAGATTGTAAGCTCGTTAATGAAATAAAACTCAAAAATTTTCAATTTAAGCAAACGAATTTTTATGTAAATATATGTATAAGCTTATACATATGTACTTTGAATTTTCAATTGGGTGGGTTTATCTATTAGGAAGCCGCTTCAACAAATATTTGATCTGGAATATCACCATACAACTAACTACACGCGCAAACAGTGGTGGAGAAAATGTTTCAACAGCTAGATTAATTACTAATACATAAAAATAGCAATGATTCTCCCAGTACGCAAAAACTACAGTTTTTAGAGAAATCTGCTTTAACAAAAAAAAAAAAAAAAAATACTGAAATTAATATATTTATTATTCATACGAGAACATTTTCCATTACCACCACTGTACGCGCAAAGCTCTATGTAAACAAAACTCGTCTTCCGGTTTCCTTTTGTTTCAAATTTTAATGCAACCTTTTTTTAATTAACAAAACTACCATTTTTTAACTTCTCAATATTTCAGCATAAGCTCAGTTTATTACGTTTTTGTTTGTGATACAGTGCAGAGGTGCGTCCAGTCATATCGCCGCAGTAAGTTTTAATTGAATTTTTAAGGTTCATAGAAGAATCAGTAAACTAGTAGAGCGGAATTATGTATGTGATTGCAATCAAATTATTTTAAATTGAATTTTTGAATTATTTTTCATTTAATAGCGCCACTAGTATTGAGCGTACAGGTGCTGTATTTGTAACACGCATAGTTGGCGGATTTTGCTCTCTACTAGTGGTGGCTAAAAACTATTCATATAAAAAACAATTTGCCTGCAATCGCTCTAGCTGATCGGAGAGTGTCTTCTGTTCCGAAGTTAAACGATGAATTTCCTGTTGCTCTTCAATACTTAGTGGTTTACGTTTTGCTTTATTTTGCATTGTACGCTTATATGCCTCGAGTATTTCTTGATCGACGGTGTCGAGTTTGCGTTTGATTTCTAACCGCTTAATCTCTTCTGCAGCAGCTTCATGCAGCCGCCTCAACGCCGTGCCATTGTGTTCAGCAATAGCAGAAAGTTCTGCTATCAAACGTTTTATTTCAGCATGTATCTCGTCATCATCGTTGTTTGGAAAATCATTTAAATCCAATATACCCTGTTCGATTAATTCTTTCTTCACACGTTTTTCAATATCAATACAATTGCGTAGTAGTGATAATGAGCGGAAATTCATTTGTGCTGAGGAGTGTGTGTTTTCGCTACTACTATTACTGCTATCAGCAACTGCAGCAGCTGTCAGTTCGCTGGGGTTTTGTATTAACTGTTCCTCGAGTAGTGCAGAGACTAGGCGTTGAGTTAATGGACCGGTGACACATTCGTCCATCATGGATTCTGCCTTTTTAAGCATACCCGTTGCTGCGCTGTTTTGCGGCTTTAAGCGATTAGAATTGGAATTCGGATTAGAAGCTTGTTGTACCTCCTTTAAATCCTCGGCCGCCCAAATGCTGGAGTAATGTGGTCCTAGCTCTGGTATCGGTGGCACCAATGGACCGGAATATTGATCGAGGAGGTCATCTAACAAACGAAGGTCTTCATTTGTCAATGGCATACAATATGGCTCGACAGAAAGCCAAAATTTATTTGGCGTATCGTTTTTGGGCAGCGCAACCTTTTGTAAATGATGATCACGATTCTGGCCGTGAGGGTGTGAACCTGTTGGTGCAACATAATCCATACTGTCATCTGTATTCGGCGCTACTGGACTATTCTTTGCATGTTTACTGTGTTTCAGCGATGAGGCGGGTGTGTGTTTGGGCTTACGTACACTTGATTGTTCGTCACGTTTACGTTTACCGCTGGATGAATTACCTGCACCAGCAGCTGTTGGCTCACCACTGGCGCCATGTTTGGTACGTCGTTCATTTCGGCGCTCATCTTTATCCAAACTTTCATATTCTGATTTTAAAACACGATATCGTTGTGCGACACTTGAGAGCAGTGTTTCAAGCTCCAGTTGTATGCTGTCTAAATCTTCAGCGGCCAAGTTATCATCAGCCGAACGCTGTAGTGCCGCATGATATGTAGGCAATTGTTTGCTGTTGTCTTTTACTTTTATCAGTGGTATGTTTATGCCTACGATGCCAGTGTCAACATCAGGTTGCGAAGAAGAGGAAACCGGGCCGGTTTTTCCACCAGTTCTGTTTCCACCACCCGATGAACTAGAACCAAAAGTGGAGGATTTAACACTTTTCGCATTGCTTGAAGCCATTAAAAGCGCTATTTGCTGTCGAAAAGTATTGAAATTATTTTTTTTTCACCTAGCGATTGACAAAATGACGTTCTATTATTTCAGAATTATTGAGAATGGTTTCTGGCGGAATTGACAAGACCTGCGTTGCCAACAACAAAAATTTATTTTGTGTAGCTCTGTTCGGTGCGAAGTGTTAGTAGGAATTAGACAGAAGTGAAATGTTAGAAATGCCTTTTCTCATGGCAAATTTTACTGACTTTCTGCCTAACCGAACGTGGTTAAGTAAAAATTGTTAAAAATTGAATTGCTGCTTTATGTAATACTTTGTAAAGTAATAAATTAATTGAAAGTGTATAAAACTAATAAAATTAATAACTTTTTAATTAACTAGCTTCGTACTACCTTCAAAGCAACACTGCACAACACCGGCGAATATTTATTTTGTTCTGTTGAGCTCAGCTGTTTTTTGTTTAGTCGCCGCTGGGAATTCGTCGCGATAAGTGTTTTTTATAAACATTTTGCTAAAACTGTAATAATTTTACAAAGAAAAAAAATCATGTTTCAATAAAGAGTATATGAAATATGCTTTGTTATCAAATCTAAAGTAAACTAAATAACGATATTTTAATACGGCCAATTAATTACATACATATGAATTTAAATAAATATAAAAATAAGTTTTAAGTAGCTCGTAACAAGAGATTGTGATATCAGTTTTCAATTAGAAACAACAAAGTGTGATCATTAATTTAATCAGTTAACTGCGGCTACACAACGGCGACCAGTAACAAAAAACGAACGCCAATTGAAGTAGCTTCTAAATTCAATGAAAAGGGTAATATTTGTACATATGTATGTGGTACTAAATTTTTACAGCGTTGACTGTCTCATATGCATGCTGGTCAAAAATTTTTATTAAATATACTATTAATTATATATATTTAATTGCAATTTGTTGAAACAACAATTGATATACGGCGTCTCGTGATTCTTTGGCTTAATTGATATGGTTAACACACAGTATCTAGCCAGGTAGAATGTGATGCGTGCGGCTAATTGAGAGGAGCGTGACGTCTATAGACTATACAGCTACCAGAAATAATCCTTAGAGTCGTGGGAAGTTGTTTAAAATTAAGGAAAAAATAAAGGTATATTAACCAACGTTTGCATCAAAGCGGCAGACAACAAGTCTCAAGTCTCTAAAGTTCTTTGTTCCTGCTCGCTTGCCTAGTCACCCGCTGGTGTCAGTTTAATCACTTTTTTAATTACCAAGTATACTATATTTTACTTGCGGTTTGTTTAGTGTTGTCACTTAAGGCTTTTTCTTAAGAATTTTATTGCAAATTGGTTTTAACGTCATCAATATAAAATATAATGTTTGTCATGTGACTGCATGGTAAAATGAGGAGTCTTTTCTCATAACAAATATGAGATATAGGTTCCTTCTATATGACTGAATTGATAATGGAGTTTCAATTTCGGATAATAATAGAGATTTGTTTAATAAATATTTGACCTTTACTTCAATCCAGTCCAATACGCTAACTATTAGTTTATAATTATATTTGTTTGTAGAGCTAATTACTTTATTCTTACGAACATTGTGTGTGAAAATCGATTTTAAATTTGTTTTGACTGAATTAGTTAAACATTTGAATATGGCAGTAATACACCTATGTACATATACAGCCAACGAGTAGGCTAATATTGTATTTTTTAATATTTTCTGGATAACTGCAAAAGCTGATATGTATGTATGTATTTTTAAAAAATTTATTTGCTATACTAAAGTGGAATATTTTTTGGAGCAAACGAATAATGCATTTATTGTATTTCAAAAACATTTTCTTCACACAAATGTTTGAAGTAACAACGGTTTAAAATTTTCCAAAAATTCAAAATCATTTAGTTTAAAAACCATTTAAAAATATCGAAGAACTTCTGTGTATTTTAGACATATGTATGTATATAATATAACAACTTTATATCGACTATGCTCCTCTAGACAGCAGAAACATGCGATAATGTCGAGAGCTTTTATGTCAACACTCTTAACTTGACAAAAAACAGTTAATAATATATATATTTTATCACTTTATAACAAAAAAAAAAAACGAATGCATTGTCTAGTGTGTGAAGTCGGTTATTGAGGCACGTTTTCGGCACAAGCCAAACAGGTTTTAGTAAATTACATTAAAACTGCATTGATATACCATACAAATGTAAATAAATATCTTCAAGTATTTACTAAAGATGCATGTATATAAATATGTACATAGGTATGTATGCAAAGGTTAATCCCCTTTACACTTGTTTGTTGTTATTCTTTTTTTTTTTAATAAAATTTCCATAACCTCTTTTGCTTTTACAAAGAATTTCATATTGGTCATTTATTAAAAGATATTTAAATTGTTTTTTTTTTACCCGAAAAATTTGCATTTGCGAATTACAAAACCACCGCATGACATTAGACAGCCAAACAGCCAAAGGTAGACTTTTATTTTTATTATGTGGTATTTCTTCGGCAAATATTTATCAAGTGCTAATTATTAATTTCTGATTGTTTGCGCCTCTTAGCGAGCGTCATTGTACGCGGGTGTACAATGTGCATGTATTGTATGTTTGTATGTATGTGTGTTTGTGTGTGTTTCTCTCTAGATTTCTTAATTACTTCTTTGTTTTTGTTTTTGCATATTGTGTTTACCCGTAGAAAAGCTAACAATTGCAGTTGAACGAGATAAGCACGACCCAAAACACATTCATACCGAGTCATAATCAGTGATAAGAGACAACGACAAACTCAAACTGTAAACTATTTAGAATGCTATTATTTATTGTAATTTTCAAGTTGAAACTGAAACACTTCAGCGTTGTAATGATGTGTAGTTTTTCGCGATTTTTTTTTTTGTTTGGAATGGAAGTGCTTTTACTGCAATGGAGATTGAAGTTTTTTACTGTTAAGCAAGTGTTCTTTTTGTTATATATTTTTTTTAATATATCGGTGTACAACTTTGCTTCCGCCGTTTTCCGATAGGTGGCTGTACCGGCTGAGGCTGGTTGAAATACATAGATGATAATGCCTTTAAAGTGAGTGTGGACAGTACCTAACGAATTGTCATCGCCGTTTCAGTGGCAGTTGTTCTTGTTTTCGTAGTATTCACGCTCGAAAATGTCCGTTTATGTGCCTAATTCTCGCCATTTGCGGGAAGTTTTACTTTTCTGTTACCATGCGAAAAAAAAATGCAGCTGAAACGCATCGAATGCTCTCAGAAACTTACGGTGATGCTGCACTGAGTGAAAGAGCGTGTCGGGAGTGGTTTCAACGTTTTAAAATTCTGATTTCGATGTCGATGACAAACATGGTGGTGGAAGAGAAAAAACCTTCAAAGATTTACTACGAGCTCTTACAACCGGGTGAAACCATCACAGGAGATCGCTACTGAACGCAACTGAAAAGAAAAGCGGCCACAATATCAAGAGCGATACGACAAAGTCATTCTCCAACACGACAATGCTCGGCCTCACGTCGAAAAAGTGGTAAACAAGTACCTGGAAACGTTGAAATGGGAAGTCGTATTCCCTCGATGTCGCCCCTTCTGACTTCCATCTATTCCGTTCGATGGCACACGGCCTGGCAGATCAACATTTTCAATCCTTGGACGAATTGGAAAAATGGACTCCTTTCAAAAGAGGACTCCTTTTTTCGAGCCGGGATCCGCAAATTGCCGGAAAGATGGGTGAAAGTTGTAGCCTTATACCAAGCAGTTCTTTTTTTAATACTCAAAGCTGTTTTTTTTTTATAATTGAAAAACATTCTTCCACATAATTATTTAATTTTCGTTGCCTCTCACGACAAGCATGCCATAAAACGAGGAAATTATAATGTTACCGACTAACCTAAATGAGGATAGACCGCCGAAAGGGTAACAGCCCTTGGCCGCCTAAAATCCAAGCCAAACTTGGTGCGTAGAGCCGGCTGACGTGAGACTTGATTATCGCTAGATTTTCGAGGTCAAACATTGAAACTCAGAAACATTAAATAAGGGGCAGTCCTCTCGCCACTGCTGTTTAACTTTATATAGTATCTCCACCAGAAGGGGTTTCACTGTTCTCATATGCTAATGATTGTGTTCAATATGAAACTGTTATTTCGATGACCTTTCTCACGCCTTCACTGCCAGAAAATTACCACTACAACCAGCAAAATCCTCATTTATCCTCTTCATCAGTTGGGCGAAGGGGTATATTCTCGAACTCAATGTGGAAGGCGGTGGCGTCCAAATGAACAACCCAAATTTATTGGGTGTCACATTCGGCAGCCTCCATACGAGGAACAAAATCCTCAAAGCGTTAGCCGGTTGAGAAAAGAAAAGGCAAAGAAATATTGCTGGCAACCTGCAAGGCAATTGCTCGGCCGGTCGTTAACTATGCTGCACTAATCAGTGCGCCGTAAATTAGCGAAACGCAGTTGAGTTGAAGAAGCTACAAATCTGTCAAAACTCCACCCTCAACACCGTAGCAGGAAACCTTCTGATGTCGTCAGAGTACCTTTTGTACAGCAAAGTGGTTATAACACGAGCTAAGGAGCAATTCATGCTGGGATGCTATCGTACCAACAAACACTTATTAGAAGCAGAACCATCACCCATGTACATCAGAGAGAAGGCAGTACATGACCTCAAGGACTGCATTCAGCATCACCTACAACAACCGTAGGAAAGGACGGCTTACTGATGTCTCCCTGCTTGTCAGGGGCTCTAGAATTTACCTGCGGCAAGGCATGCCTGCCGTAAAAGGCGACTAAAATTCAAAAGTCCTCACGACGGTCGTGCCTTTTCATCCGGCCAAGGATTGTCAATCTCGCAACATTCCCGAAAAACTATTTCGGGGATTATTTGTTCGGTTACCAAAACGACAACAACAAAATGGCTTACCGACAGTCTGCACCTTTCTGAACTCCCTTCCAGCGAATGACGTTATCGTCGAAGTAGATCGTTTTCTGGACCTCCCTAGCATTAAATGACCTCGATAACTTAAACCAAAATAGCCTGCTCCTAAGTGGGGTTGATAAACCGCTACAACAATAACGGGGAAATTCTTGAACCCTTAACACGAGGGGATTCACAAAAGTTCGGTAAGTTGACCAGAAAAAAAAACAAAAAATTCTCTTTGTACTTATTCGTAATATTTACCCTTTTATATCTTCTCTAAATAATCACCATTGATTTCACAGTATTTCTTAAACCTATAGATCCACTTCTGAAAACAGTCTTCAAAATCTTGCTTTTTAAACTTATCAAGTTCAGCATCAACCGCATTAATTATCTCCTCTTTGCTAATAAAGACCTTTCCTTTTAATTTTTTTTTTAATTTTTGGAAATAGCCAGAAATCAAAAGGTGCCAAGACCCGGAAATATGATGCCAGAATCGCAATTAAATTACTTGTTATTTCAGAAATGAGGGATAACGCGTTGTGGTAGTGTCGCAAATCCTCTTTCTTCCTGTTTTCCAATAAAGTTCTCAAAACTTTTGGCAAACCCTCTTCGGTGTACTATTTTGCAGTCACCGCCTGACTCTTTTCCAGTGGAATAGCAGCTACGATTGTAGATCGGGTGAAGTAAACTGACGTTATTACTTTTGCTGCTGATTTTTGTTGCTTAAATTCAACGGTTGGGTTTGCTCTGTGGGGCTTCATACCAGGTACTGCTGTTTGGTTTTTGGGTTCGTACTTGTAGAAGCAAAATTCGTCACCTGTAACGACTTTACTAGAGTTGCTAGATTGAGAATTTTCGAATTTGTTTGGGACTAAATTCAACAAAAGGCACTCGAGCCTCT